GACCTGCTGTCCTTTCCTCTCTACCAGCTAATTTTCTCCCCAACACCGAAGATAATCCCCTATGTCAACCCCACCATAGGGGCATCTGGCTTACGTGCAGCAAAACATGTTTAAACTTTACTAGACTATAAGTCTATTCACTCGGTCTATCTTTTCTGCGCCAATTAAGTCTATTTTGACGGTACATACGTAGTGTTTATCCGACAGGAAGCTCTAGAGCGGTGGTTGAATAAAAAATAGAATAAAAAGTCGGTTGCCATGACACTTTGTTGAAATCAGAAGTAAATATATGCAAAGCATTTGCAAATAGTCATGTAAACAAGTGCTTTGAAGCTAATATAAGACCAAGCCGAAGTAAATATTTGATATTGCACGTGATTCAATAGGCGGGATGAGAAGGACTGGACATTATCGATACGCAAATATTGCTGATTATTTTAAAAATTTATTTCAGAAATCGCGAGACCATGAGGGAATTGAAAGTCAAATGAATGGATGCCACTGTCTAGAGGGGAAACATCTAATGCTCTCGGATGCTTTAATCGTGGAAAACTACTGATGAACGTCTGATGATCACTTATCGCTGCTAGATGTCTACGTGACAACAATTTTGTTATGTTGAAATAACCGTGAGTTCGATACACAGGCCATGACCCACATTTTGTACTGACGTACGTTTTTACGCGGATTTTTCGCCTCTCTGGGGGAATTTTATTTTTATGTCTCCTCCCGAGTGATATTCCTCGGGGATTTTTGTCTTCACATGGATGCTGCGAACTTTAATTTCTTTTGGTCTGAGTAATGTGTGCGTTGAACTTTCAGAGTTGATAGAGATAGAAATGATAGAGAAATCGGACGAGTCATTGATTGAAATTGGAAAAAGAGGAAGATTCGATCTATATAAACAAAATTTCAGTCGAAATTTTATTATCGAACACTTCTGACTCACAATAGATAAAATTCCGAAAAAGGAATAGAAGAACTGTTCCGCAGTGAAAAATAGTCTAGACCCTCGACAAAAATAACTCGTAAAAGGAGTGACAACATTGTCGGTAATTGATGTAACGAATGTCGAGAATGAATGAATAGATAGATAAATGCATTGATCATCAGTGTTGATTTAGCCGAGTGATATCTGTTGAATATTCCCATTAGCGAGACCAAAAGACTCCTGAGAGCTAAGTGGACATTGTATTTATATTCGATGTTTATATTCCAACTATCTACGTGATGGCCTAAAGATCGTGACAAATTTATAATCTAATTCTCCAAAATTACAGAACCGTTTAAGAAAAATTCTGGGGGTAGTAGAAATTTTAAGCAATTGTATGCGAATTTTTCCCATACGCCAAGAAAAATTTATAGTTCAATATACCGTCGCGGTTAGTATTTGTGGAGCTTATTAGTTTTCAGGAATTTATATTAAAAAAAGAAAGACGAAACTTTTCTGATCCGTCCCATTGTGATTTTCCCGAGTTGGAACTTCATGCCGGTTCCGCTAGAGCCGTTTAAAAGAATTCAGTAGCAAATTGATAAAGTCAGATAAGTCGAGTTTGCGAGTTTCGTTGAATATCGATAAATCTCCAAACCTATTGGTTTTAGATGAAAATATGAAGAAACATTTTTTGTTAGAAATTAAATTAGCTACAAAAAAAGTCTCACGATGGTTCCACGTTGAACCAATAGTTTTCAAGATAAATCAATAAACTGATAAAATTTTTAATTCAACTTATCTCACTTTACTGCCTTGCTCTTCTATTTATCTCCGTACAACTCCTTCTATCTACCTCCATCAGTCTAATACATCGATAGCTATAACATGAGACTTGGGTGTTGTCACGTGATAGCACTGCGCAGTTGTTTTGGCTGAACTGAAATTTAACATCGACCTCCATCACCCAACGAGCACAACAACAAAAAGGGGAATCGTTCCCTCGAGTCACTCCAACCCTCACGTCAAATATAATCACTCGTTCCGAGGGTTGGCAGTTCCTCCCCCGATATTTCCTATGCCCCGTATTTCCCCATGGCCCTCAAAAATAAAATAACATAAAAGAATCCCCGTAAATAACCAAAATGGTTCCAAAAAAAAATCCCGAGGAGATATATAAAAATTTCACTGACCTCCAATGCCCTCAACAACGGATTAATCTCTTTAATATTTCATCACCTAGAAGCAATCGGCCCACGAAATCCTCAAATGGAAAAATAATGCCAACGAAATATCTCTTATCAACCCTCATGAATCCCTCACTTGAACTCAATCCCCTCAAAATAATCGTGGCGTCGTTTTTTTTTT